ATATAGTATATACGGCGGGAACAAGATAAAAGTCAATTTAAAAGGGGATCACATTTAAAAGAGGTATTTTAGGTAATTATTAAATTTTAGCTAGCTAAGATATAATATATCCAAATTTCAATAATTTTTTATTTTCATTTATTTATATTTATTTTCAGATGTAATACAATTCTAGATCAGAAATTTGATTCAGAATATTTTACAACAGACTAGTATATCAAAAAATAATACATGGTACGCATGGGCCATAATCCTAGTTAATCATTAAGTCGACAATAATTTGCTCACTCAGTGGTTCTCTTAAGCCACCAACTATTCCAGATTAGCTCGATCGCCATTGCTTCTGTCATAGTATAAAAAACAGTCCAAGGAATCAGCAATTGCTTGATATTAGAAAGTTGAAGAAGATAGAACAAATTAATCTTTGTTGTATACCTCAGGCTCAGACTCGTTCAAGTTTGCAAACCAAAGATCTTTCGAAATCAGAACCAATGTTGTTGCTATGTAAACTCATTTCAGATTATCAGCAAATGGGGTCATCGGAGAAGGAAACTTTATTTTTCATGATGGAGTTTGAATCATAATAGTGAGGATGAAACAGGGGTGGGACCCACTTGAAGAGGGATGGATTCAATTTGACACCGGTAAGAGCACCCCCATCAAGGGAAGATGGGGGATCACATGCAAACCAAAAAAAAAAAATATTAAAATCAGATTTCTATGAACCTCTCTCTCAAAAATTCACTGCGGTGAACCACGTGTCAGTTAGTAATTGGTCCATTATTATTATTATTTTTTTTTTTTTAAGTAAACGAATTTTTTTTTTATTTGTGTGAACCCCTCCCCATGAGTTCACTGATGTGGATGCTCTAAGCTTTGTTCATTAATCAATTATGGTATAGTTGGTTTGAAATTTCTGCAGTGAACCCCACTGGGATGAAATTGAGCCGTTTCCTTTTCTCAAATACCATAGTGGATATCAGTGGAGTGGACCAAGAACAGAACAATATTTGTAACGTTCCTTTTGAGATGTGAAACACTTGCAAATATTTGTAACATTCTTTATGATACTAAATCTGTTTGAATCAAACCGTTTATGTACTATTTTCAAACAAACTAATTGGTTAATATACTTGAAACAAAGTGTCACCACAAGTGCTTTAGGAAAAAAAATACAAAGCGAGGGAAGGCGAGCTCATTGTGTACCTAGCCAGGCCATGGGCTGGTGAGGTGATGAGGTTATTGGTATGTATATCTTTTATCTCTATAAGATACAAAGTGACAAACAAACACGTTCTAGCTAGTGTTAGACTCAACTGAAACCAATAAAATCTTTTATAATATGAACGCCAAAGCTAACAAGTAGCAACATACAATACAAGAAGATAAAGAGACCCAAAGAGTTACTTTCCGATAGTAAAATTTAAAAGACTTAGCAAAAACTGCGATGATTATACAATATGATATAATGAAAACACATCTGGCTTTCCACCAGATAGGAAAAAAAATTAACAGGTGAATAAATATCAGGAGAGATCACTTGTGTCACACAAGGTAACTCACCTCCTCTTCCACCCATGACCTCGGCTTCTACAAAGACCGCTATAATCAGTACACTCTATCTCCCACCAGTACCATTCTTCGTACGCTGAGTTCATGTCATCAATCTCTTGTCGTGATGCGGCCATCCTCTCATCATGCCACTTCTCGATGTAATAATGCCACATTCTAGTTCGAGGAACAATTCGTCTTCTACGATCGTCCCATCTTCTAGGACGACTTTTACGAAAAAGTTCTGATTCAATACCTTGCTGGATTTGAACCAAACTTGGAACATAACTGAAAATATGATTATGTCCAAAATGCACTCCTTTAAAAGGGACTTTTGCGAAATATTCATCTTCTTCTCCAATAGTGAATATCTCGAAACATGGATCACAACACAAGGCCACTTTCTTATCTTCGTCGATTAGAAGACTGTTGGAAATACCAAATCCATAGTCCACTTCGAAGGATTTGCTCCATGTCAAATCTGCCTCACAAGTAGTATCAATTTTATTGGTCACCCACATCTCAATCTTTGTTGAATCTTCTATACAACGTAACACTGAAAGCTCTTCTCTAACAACTGATAGGGACCTATACCAGCATTCTTGAGATGTGATAGGTAAACACAAACGTATAAATCTCTCTCTTGTAAAATCAAAACTGAGTAAGTAGTAGTCTTCTGTGCCATCAGAAGAAACCCAGTAAGTATTTCCTTTTAAAGTCACGCCACGAGGCCAATATTTGATGCATGTAGGAGTATTAAGAACTTTCCACGTATTAGAGTTAAAATCAAAGATTTCAAATCCATAATCTTGATCTTGGTGGTCTTCGTACTCGTCGTCGCTTGTATCGTACAAATCCCTAAACATCAAGATTTTGTAGATGCGGCGAGATTGGTTGTTTACGTAACCTAAAGCAAACTTAGACTTTCTAGGGAACCACCTGGTACCATCTTTTTGTTTGATCCATCTTGTTTCCCCTGAACAAGGATTCCAAACCACGAGTTCATCATCCATAGTGGTGCATAACAACAAACCATCGCAGTGGAATACTTCCTCTATATCAGCATCTTCTGATATATTATAATCCTTTAGGCTAAGTGCATCGCTAAATTCAATAGAAGGAGGAACAAAGCTAAGATCTACGCTGGTCAAATAAAGCCTATATTCGTCCAACATGAGAACAAGAGGCTGCTTTGGAGCGTTACGAAGGTGCTTCTCTGTGAATCTTTGGTCTTCGAATAAAGTTCTCCATCGTTTGCAAATAGATCTCCATCGCATCAGAGATGTGGCCGGAACCCTAGATAGTATCTCTTCTACTAAGTTTTCCGGAAGATGAGACGTCATCATTGTTAATTTTTTCTTATGGATTCGATCACAAGGGAAGAAGAAAAGTTGTGTATATCTCCTATAAAGAAGACGAAAACGACTTTGAGGGGGAGGTGGCTTTTAAGTAGAAATTAGGGTTCTGAGTTTTACATGTTTCCACTCCACCTAACCAATCTTGTCTTACATAGGGACAAAAGAATCTCTCTTTCTGTTGCTCTTGTTTTTTTTATATTGAAACCATTAAAAGAATATGAAGGATAAAAAAGAAAAGAATGAAAGAGAATAAAATAAGAGGAAAATTTATTTCTCTCCTAATTTGATAAGGAATAATTGTAGTCTATTATTCCATAAATGTTAATGAATATTAAGAAACCATAAAGAACAATTTTTTTTTAAAGGTGTAAATTGTAAGGAATGATAAAGAATCCATTATTTCCCTCATTTCCTTGGTCACCATTTAGACCCTAAGTGATTTACTTAATGCATACACAAGTATAAATATTTACAAATTAAACAATTTATTATAATTTTTATAATACTTTATCAAAATTTTAAGTCATTTTTAATTTATATTATAACTAATATGTAGGATTTGTTTTATAATATTTATTATATTATTTTAATCATACATATGATTTTGGATATATAATATCTCATCTGTTTAGTTATTATTTGGACATATTAGATAACATCTATTTTTTTATCCAACCATAATATATTTTTACTATAGAATAAAAATTTGATTAATTTTGTTACTTTCATTTAATTTGATTTTTGTCTTAGATTTGTAAATATATTTTAGTAAGATAATGTATAATTTAATATAAGTTATTTTGAAAGTATAATAATAAAAAAAACTAAAGTGTTGATCGATTAAAATTTACATAAATGAATATAACAACGATAGCCTTTGATTATAACAATGAGATTAATCTAAAGGGACAATGTACTAGTTTTTTGGTCTAAAAAAACAATTTTCCCTAAAATATTTGATTGATCATGATTCTGATTGGATATATTTATTGTGGTCAAAATTTATTTAAGTGATGTTGGAATGTAATTAACTTGAAAAAACAAGGGAAAAATACTATTAAAGATTCTACTTTAATAGTATATACTAGAAATTAACATGTGTTTTAAAACCACGGGATTCATTTTTATTTTTCAAAAAAAAATTACAAAATAAAACTGAAATTTGTAAATACTTTAATTATTACAATTTTTAGTGTGCATAATATCTATTATTATCAAATTTTTAAAAAGGTTGTGTAATTATATTTTAATTGTTTTGATTATTTGCTTACTGAAATTTTTTTAAACCCCATTTAATGTAAACCAATTCTATAACAGTGAAAGTACCTAGTCATGGCTAAGTTTCTCATGTAAACATCATTTTCAAAAATAAATAAGAAAATAAAAGCTTAAACTAAGCAGCACAAACAGCTAGGTCGATTGCATTGTATCTCTAGATAACTAAAATAACTTTCACATTTGGAATGTGTTATTATTTGAAAGTATGAGGAATATTTGTGTTGTTATTGTATAAATATAAGGTGTTCGTATATAGGGAGTGACAAGATTTTAGAAAAATGAAAAATTTAAACCAACTAAGAAAATGAAATAGTACAAAACTTAATACAATTGGAAAAATATATTTGAACGAATTGCCCAAAAATAAATGTAATTATACATATAGCTAATGGTTTTATTTTATAATAATAAAACAAAATTTAATATTAAAAATATTTATTTTTAGTGATAATAGTATTTTTCATAATAAATTTCGTTGATTAATATTTTATTTTAGGTAAACAAAAAATCAAAATCTAAAATCACCATTCAAGTTTTTTAAAAAAAGTTAAAATGTACTGCAAAAACAAAAATAAAAATCTAAAACTAAAAACTAAAATTTGGATAAACAATCAATCACCTTTAGGGGGCATACAGCCTGTTTGTAGTTTGTAAAGTTAATGTTATACGATGGAATTTCGTTTTTTTTTTTTTGTCAATCACGATGGAATTTCGTTTTTTTTATCACTTTTTGAGCACCAAACAACACAACATGCTTCTGTCTTGAAAAAGTAGCATAAAGAAGATAAAGAAATAATAGCAAAGATTTTAGGTCTAGGGCATTGTTAGATGACTAATCTTCTTCTTGATTTTCCTCTGCTTAAGCTTCACTTTAACATTAACACCATTATCAATAATAGCTTGAAGCACAACCTGAAGCTTACCTTCCACTTTATCTCCTTTCCTTGGAGTATACACAACGTCATGTATGTCATCTTCCAAACTTCTCTGCGCAAGAACTGTCCCAACCGCAGCACAAGCCACAACGTTCCTAGTCGAACCAAGATCGAACTTCATGTCTTTCGAAATGGAATGAGCCACAGTAACAACTTTACTAGTCAACCTGTGAATCACACAAGCTCGAACAGAGGCCTTTGAGATGTAAATGTCTAAGCAAAACGGGTGGTGATAAGGAGCCGTGAGCTGGTTAAACGTGAGCGTTCGCTCTCTCTTCTTCGTAGCTGCAGTAAGATGATGATTTGTTTCGCCAGTGAAAGTGTTCTCTCTCTTCTTGTATTCCTCACGAACTTCTTGATTACTCTTTGCTGTTGTTTCCTTCTTCATCTTTTTTGTTTCTTCTTGGTTGTTTTGCTCTTTCTTGGTTTTCTGGTGATGGTTGTTCTTGCGGTGGAAGTCATAGTTGTATTCCTCAAACTCTTTTGACCCTTTATCAAGCTTGTAGAAAAGATCACCACGGATTCTCATATTGTCGATTTCATCGTGATCAACATCAGGCACGACTGTTTCTCCTCCTTGTGTTGTAAAGGAAGAGTTTTTGGCAGCCTCTGCTTGAAACTCTCTCCAGGCTTGAGATATTGATGATGAGACATCCCAAGCAGCATCATCAATAGTTTCTATAGCATAACCATTCACATCATCAGCGATTGAATCCTTTCCAGTTTTGTTGCTGAAAAATCTCGACGACAAGCAGTGTGAGGCTACTCGAAAACGGGAGGTGAGATTCGGCGAACGGAGAAAGATTCTTCTGAGAATCGTCGAAGCCATCGGAGTTAAAGAGACCACTGTACAGCAAGGTTTCACAGAGACAAATCGTCGAACATGTGGTGTGCAAAGTTTCACAGAGACAAATCGTCGAACACGTGGTGTGCAAAGTTTCACAGAGACAAATCGTCGAACACGTGGTGTGCAAGGTTAAGTTGGGAGAGAAATTACCTTACACCGGTTGTAAAACTGACCGTGGTGCTGCTGCTATGTAGAGTAGTGTAGACGACTTGTTCAACAAAGAGATTTAAAGCAAAGATCTTTCAAAAGAACCAGTGTTGTTTCGATGTGAAGAACCGTACTTTAGATGTCTGCCTGAATCAAAAAAGAATATATTGTGACAAAGAGAAGTTGTCATATATAAGTAACGGAAATATAAGATTGTTGACAGAATATTAGGCATTACAAAAGCTTATGAGAAGAAACAGAGACGATGGTTTTTAACACACAACATAAGACATAGCTAACTTACTAAAACGAGTTAGGCTTCGAAAATATTACAGACAAAACGACAACGTAGAGAGACAAAGATGCAGATACAGAGAGTAGTTGTCACAGTATCAGTGGTTCTTGGTTATTACCATTCCTCCATTCTTGATTTGTCATCACACACAGTCTAAATTCAGTAGTAAGCTTGCTGATGATGGGTGTGTTGGTGGTGCTGCTGAGGGTAGTGTGGGTGATAAACCGGAGGAGCTGGAGCTGGAACAGGGACAGGACCGTTGCAATAACCGTTGTAAGCTGGGTAACCGATGGGTGAGCCTTGGTATGAGGCGGGGATAAGCTCAGGGGAGTAAGGATAAGGTGGGCTCCTGTTGCTGTAGACAGTAGTAGGTGGAGATTGGTAAGCTGCTGGTGAAGCGTACTGAGGAGAGTGAGACGGTGATCTGATGAAAGGGAAGGAAGAGACGTATGCGTTTGTGATACGCCCAGCTTTCGCTGGTGGCATTGGACCGTTGTAGCTGGCTCTGGTTCTCTTGTTCGCCGGTACAGCTGCTGGCTTCCTCTTCTCGGTTTTGGTCTTCTCTAGCTGTTCCAACCGCTTCTTGAGATTCTCTGGAGGGAACTCTTCCTCGAGTTTGTACTCTTCTATGCATCTCAAGACTGCCTTGAGAGCTGATTGCTCCTTGCGCGCCACGAGATGCTTAACATGACAAAGATAATAAAATTTAAGCTTGCGAATAAGGGAAGTTCAAGCTGTAAGATAAATGAGTAGATAGATTACCGAAGCTCGGCCAGTATTGCTCGAGTCTTCTGTCTTCTTTGCGTCTCTTAGATAGGCTTTGAGTAAAGGAACAGGTGGGAACTTATCCACAAGGCCAACTTCATAAGTAAAGTGAACAGCATCAAGCTGTTGTCCCCTGCTGATCAACTCTTCAATCATATCTGTGCAAGCATAACAACTCAAGCCATCATTTAAAAGAACTTCACAAGCTTATCATCAGTACTAATCTGCCTATGTTACTTAAGTCTCAAACTTAACCACAAGTTTAAATCATGAGAAAGATAGGATCTTTAGGCTTACCAGGCATCTGATCACCCAAACCAACCAAAACAGCAAGCTTAGGCATCTGCTTACGCCACGCAGATCCAACAACAAGCTTCCTATACAAACCAAGATCTTCACTTTCAACAATCCCAAACGTCACAACATGCTGCAAAAACGTATGCACATCAGGACTCTTCACATTCTCCACCCTCCCTCTCTCCTCCAAACCCGCCTTCCACGTCTCCGCAATCTCCTTAGCCTTCTCCTTAACACTCGGAGTAACAACCAACCTCTCCTTCCCAATCACCGGATCCACCATCACAGGCCCTAAACTCTCCAAAATCACCACACAAGCCCACCCAAAATCATTACTCATCTTCTCCCCAACACCTCTCTTATCCACCGGAAACACCTCAGAGATCGCCTCCAGCACCAACTTCGCCGGATCCACACAATCCCCCAACGCCGCCGGAATCTTCAACCTCAGCCCCTCAATCTCCTTCTTCCTCGCCGTCACGAAGCTCCAGAACCCTCTCGCGTCCATCTTCAAACACAGAGACTTCAAAGCACAGAGAAGCCCCCCTTCCTCGTCATCATCAACCTCGCCGTCGTCTCCGTCTCTAGCTTTCTCGATCGACTCCAGAGCAGCTCTAGCTCGCTCCCCGACTTTCCCGGCGACGATCTCGACGCTTCGATCGATCGTGGCTTCCCTCCGCTTGAGGGAATCGAGAGAGCTCTGAGTCTGGCTGTCTAGGGTTTCGATCATCTCCTTCAGAGCTTCCGATTTCTTCATGAGATTCTCCTCGAGAGTGGTGAAGTGATCGGAGAGCTCTTTCCAGAGAAGAGTGCAGCTGTTCATCAGCGACGTCTGTTTCTGAAACTCGTCGAAACTCGGCTGAGCTAACTCGGTCAACTCGCCTGGATCGGAGACCGACCCCATCTTCAAAAACGATACTTCAAAGAGAGAAGAAGGTGAAGACGAAAGTGTGTTTTTTTGTTGGAGTGAGATTGCAGAAAACCCTAGAAATGGCAAAAAGTTTAAGAGAGGAAGGTCGATGACGTGGATAAGTCAAAGGAGCGACACGTGTTGGGGAAGGATAAAATGCGCTGGGGATGTTGATTTTTGGTGTGCTATTGTGAACGGGGAGATGCGTAGGTTTGGGTGATGATGACGTGTGAATAAGGGAGTGTTTGGGGTGGTGGTAATAAGTATCCTAAGCTTTCCGCTTTATCGTATAGATCGCTTAAAGAAAACCAATAAAATTAAAGGTGAAAGAGATACGTGGGCCAGGCCCACTGACCACCACATGCGTTGAGTCGGAAACCAGTGAAGCATTGCCGGTTAAAGTTACTTGAATTAATAAGAAAAATATTGTTTATAAATATTTGAATTTTCTGTACTTGTATAATGTAATGTAAAGAAGAACACATGTGTACATGAAGAGATGATCTTTAAAAGGCTGTAACGAATCAGTCACGCGTGATAATACTTGGACCGAATATTTATGTGTGTTCTAAGACGTGATAATTAAGCAAGCTATAAATAGACTCATTACATGTTTTTACACTGATATTATATTGGTTTTGCTAATTTTCGTACTATGTTTAAAATATCTTGTGATTGCAAACAGAAGCATAAGATAAAAAAGAGATTTGAATTTGAATTATTAAAGCTACTTAGAATTGACATATGCTAAAAACCTTTCTTCTGTGGATATGTCCAAAATGTAAAACGGGACAATGACATAAAAACCCATTATTGGAACATCCTTACTATTGTCGTCCTCTTGGTAGTAAAGTCATCATTTTAATTAAAATTATATAGATTAGAAAGACAAAACACAATTAGGAAGAGACGAAATATGAAAGAGACGGCAAACAATTATCTAATTCAACAGGTCAGTAATGGACGGCTACAAATTAACCGCCGTTTGCTTTAGAGAAAAAAAGTAAGGAGAAATTTTTGAAAATATGAAAGGGAGAAATCAAATTCAAAAGGGCTAATGATTTAATTCCATGCAATGACTTGACATTAGTCTAGCTAATCTTATAGTAACGTGATTAAAACATTACAAAATCGCGGGTCTTTTTATATATGTTTTTGGTATATGCATTTAACTCTTACCCACTAGCCACTACACAAAGTACTTTGTCCTATCTATTATATCCTGCTAGTTGTTATGATGGTGGGCAGTGGCCACACTATGATCCTATTGTACACGTTAAATAACATTGATTTTCGGCAACCTTAACATAAATAAATCAGATGATGAAATTTAATATCAAGCTATATGAATTTCGATAGAGTAATGTTATTGAGATATATCATTTGTCATCAATATTAGTATGCAAATACATTTCTTAGAGTTTGGTCAGAAATACGAAGTGATCAATATAGCCCACTAATGAATGCAGGAAATAAAGTTTGGTCAGAAACACTATGATTCAACGGATTAGCTGAAGTTAACACAAAAAAAAGTTGAGTAAAAAATCATTAAACCCTTTTTAAACCTAACTTGTCAATTAAACAGAGACATAAAGAAAGTGAAAAGGAGAAACAAGATTCATATATTCTAGTGGCCAAAACCACCCACATGGTACAGGGCTTCTTCTTGTCTGCTTTTTAATTTTATCCCAATTCATAAAAATTTAAACACAAACAAGTTATTATTATCTAGCTAGGCATCACAATTATTGTCGCCAATCTAAAGTACCAACATATAAAGCAGGATGAACACTAACTCAATGTCAAGTACTTATACAAAAGACACTAAGACACCATTGTTTGGTTCAACACCCATAGGATTATTCATATGTATAGGTGTTACTTTTTATTAGCTGGCTAAAGCTCAACGAACAAGATGAAGACACGCAAAAGGGAAAGAAGAAAGAAAACAAAAGAATCAACAAGGACAACAAAAAGCATCAAGCACTATATCTCTATTTACTTCCAAGGATGTTGTTAAACAGAAACTCGTATATATCAGTCCACACCCATGTTACTCTATATGCAATGTGATCACTGGATCAAAGGACCAAGAAAACCAAAAAAAATCAGAGCCACAGAATATACACTAAAATGATCAAATGTGCAAAGTATAATCCGCATGTCAAATGAACAAGAATATTAAATACAAGAAATAATTTAGAGAACCTCGACGAAAGCTGATCTACATCCAAAGAAGATTATTATGTGACACGAAAGAGCACTCAAAAATAGATGAGTTGCTACTATAGTGTTTGACACTGACTGGAATGGCCATATAAGCAGCCATTTATTCATCATGTCAAACTAGCTGACAACCTTCATATAGTTATCAAGCTAGAAAAAATTTAGATGGAAGTGTGTGTATGTATAGTCACAAAGAAATGTCAAAACTTATAATTTATGCATCACCTAAAGAGTTAAGAAAATGAAGTCGAACAACTTAACATGCTGGATTAATGAATCACAAGAACAGCAGTGAGCGAGAGTAAAGAATGTTAAACATATTCTTTGCTGATAATAGAACGTTGTTTTAAGGGTCAATACCCAAAAGAGCTGCATATTTGATACCCTATTTTAAAACAGTAATCCTGAGAAGAACAATCAGTAAGGCGGGTAACCATTAAAAACAAAATATCATTGAATATCAGACACCCTAATACTAAACAACTGCAAAAAAAACTACCAATATGCTGTACTAAGTATTAAAAATCAGCCTGCAAAGGGCAAGGACTAATAACTTAATTTGTGGAACAAATGAAATGCAACAGAGCAGTACAAAGAGCATTATGTTTGACGGAGATAACAACTAAGTTGAATAATACCTAACATCAAACTAAAATTGGCCACTTGAATAATCTAAGAGGCACTTCAATAGGGAATAAACTCAAAAAATCATCGTATAATTAGACAATTGAGTAATCAATATATGCAACTTAGCGAATTATTAGAGCAACCATTTCATTATATACATACGATAAACGGGAAGCAAAGAGCGTTAAGCTAATGAGGAGGAATACTACACATTTAGTTAAATCACAACCACCAAAGCATGTAAAGCCTAAGTACAATATTGTGAAGAAGTTACCATACCAATCAAACAAAAGTATTCCAAGCTATTTTAATCTCCTCTATTACTTTCTACATGTTCTTTTAGCAATCTACAACACAACCGACTTATCAAGAAACCATCAAGAACAAGGCGATAAGAGTCTTCTCCAGCCAAAGCAAACGGTAACTAAGGGTCTCATAAATCCGCTTAACAAAACCCTAAAACAATTTCTTTAACGCAACCAAATCAAACCGAGGATTTGAAAAATCTGATCGAGAGATTAAACTAGGGTTTCGGATTTTCTTTGTTGGAAACATTATCTGGTTTAACAGTTGACTGTTGCCGCATTTATTAGCCGTTAACTACCGACGATGCTTCTCTAGCAAACTACCAAGTCTTTGCAGCAAGTTTCTGAGTTTGATAGAGCAATACAATACATTCTTTCATCAACAGATTCAATCATAAAGTTGAAGCCCACCATCTTCTTAAGTGTGTGATCTCCACTCTATTCTTCACCCTTGCTTAAAAGAGTGACTCCAGGAGCTTTCTTGTGATTGCTCAGCTCTCAGGACCGTGACAAGACTCCTTTTGAACTGCAAAAATCCGGAAAAGCAATCACACCTCAAACGCTTTTTTCTAATCATATATACATTCTTCATCAAGACAACAAAGATGCACCCTCAGGAGTCAGGATCCACAAAGGGGTATATGCTTCTAAACAGAGATATGAATGATTAAATTTGTCTTGTTTACACAAAATGATTCTTGCATTCTCTACGATATACTATTATTTATCCAAGTTAAGGTGAATGTGGTGGAGGAGTCAAACCTTGGTATGGTCCCACCACGGCGAGGATCACTCTCAGTTGCTTGTCGCAGAGCCCTGGCAAAGGCCTTAAAGGTCGCCTCTATTATGTGATGCGAGTTTTTACCGGCAAGCTGTTGTAGTAACAAACGATGATTAAACACTATCTTGAAAAGGTTGCCAAGCATATTACAGATGAGATCATTTTGAACACAAAGTACCTGACGGATGTGAAGTGTCATACCGGAAGTATTCACCAATGACTGGAAAAAGTGTTCCACCAACTACAAATGTGGAAAGATTTACAGCTCTTGAAGAAAACTAAACAACGAAAGAAATCACTTAAAAAGAGGACAGACTCAGAGGAATGAAGAACCTGAGTGTCATAGTTCCCAACTCTCTGGGTTGGAATCTCCAAGTTGTAACCAAGATATGGTCTACCAGACAAGTCCTGCAAAGTCGTTTTCGTTTCATTATAAAGCAGTAAGCAAGTTTGGGTAAGTACCAGTAACCGAAAAGTTTCATTACCAGGGAAACATGAATAAGCGCTTCATCTAGAGGAGCTGTGAAGTCACCAAACCTATTAATCCCTTTACGCTCACCAAGCGCCTTTAAAAGAGCCTAGAGGTTTCAATACAGCACAAACAAAATTTTGGTTGCTCATAAGGTCTAATAAACAACCGGCAGAAACGAAAGACAGTAAGTAAAACACTCACGGTTCCAATGGCAAGAGCTATATCTTCATTAGTGTGATGGTCATCGATGTGAACGTCACCAGTAGCTCTTACGTGAACATCAAACAACCCATGTGAAGCAAGTTGCTAAACCAAGAAACAACCAATCAAGACACTATATAAATAAATCAAACATTAAAACCCAACAAAATGTAAATGGAAAAAAAAGAAAGGCAGAGACTTTATTACATCCAACATATGGTCAAGAAAAGGGATTCCAGTGGAACTATCAGCAACACCAGTGCCATCCAAATTAATCTTTACTGACACATTCGTCTCCTTTGTTACTCTCTTCACTTCTCCAACTCGAGCTGATCACATCCCCACAAACAAAACAAAAGGACAAGACTTTGAGTGATAGAATCAATAAAAAACAAAACTTGATGTGAGATTCCATCCCAAAACTGACCTGGTTCAATAGAGAGAGATGAAGTCTCCTGAGAAACGTTGTTGCTGGGTGAAGAAGCGCAGGAGATAGAGTGAGGAGGCTGAGATTGAGATTCCATCCGCAAGAATCGAAGAGACGAAGAAGAAGAAGAAAGGATCGATGCTCTCCGAGGAAGCGAAACCGTAAAACCGAGCTTAGGTTTCAGAAGCTGAGAGGAGGAGGAGGATTGACCAAACATGGCGGACGCAGAAGACAGCTCCATTTGTTGTTGGGGCATGTGGACCAGAGAACCACTTTCTTGTTCGAATCGGCCCAAGCGACGACGTTTCAGTTCCCCTTGACTCCTTGAGCCAATTCAGATTCGCACTAGATTATTAGTTAACCGAACCGGTACATTAATCTCATTTACTTTGGTTCAGATTCAAATTCCGGTTTGGTCTTGGACCGGTTACACTGGAACTAATAGACCACATTCGGTCTAAAGAAACCAAACCGAACCACATCTAAGACCATCTCCAACAATAGAACCTTCATTTGAGATCTAAATCATTTTTTTAATTAAAATTAATCAAAAAACAATATTTAGATATTTATAGAGATTTAACTCTTCCAATGGTAGAACCAAACAAGGGTTCTAAATTTCAAAAATTTGAAAATTTGTAATAGAAAATTACTTGCATCACAGTCCATTATATAAAACTTATAATTATTGAATTACATAGAATTTAATTTAAGTTGACATAAGAAACATAGAACATAGATTTAGAAATCATAAATAAAATTAAACGATTAATAGTTATTTTCCGTTGTACCAAATTTCTGTCATATATGTTCAACTAAATCATTTTTCAATTGTTCATGTACATTGCGATCACGAAGTCGATTTCGAATTGCCATAAAATCGGATGTACCTGAAGGCATATTCATAGAATACGTGAAATCCACATGGGAGATTCTGTTTGATTCTACTTGGGCGAATTCTGATACATTAAATTGAGTATACTCATCTCGTTCGTCTTCCACTATCATATTGTACAATATGATACATGCTCTTAATCTTTCCGATTTTTTTCTTATCCCAAATAAGAGCTGGATTTTAACAATAGCAAATCAAGCTTGCAGGATTCCAAAAGCACGCTCGACATCTTTACGGACAGATTCTTGTACTATAGCAAATAAGGATGCTTTCGGAGTTTGTAGAAGTGAAATAGATTGGATAAAAGTTTACCACTTTGGATAAATACCATCAGTGAGATAGTAAGCCAAACGATAGTTGTGTCCGTTGACAAAGAAATTCATTTTTGGAGCTCGCCCTTCTAATATATCATCAAAAACGGGTGACTTATCAAGAACATTGATATCGTTTGACGTACCTGGACATCCAAAAAACGTGTGCCATATCCAGATATCCTGTGAAGCTACTGCCTCTAACACGATTGTAGGTTTGCGAGATCCACGTGTATATTGTCCTTTCCAAGCGATTGGGCAATTCTTCCACTCCAGTGCATACAGTCGATGCTTCCTATCATCTACGGAAAACCGCGCATCTCTCCAATATCGAGTAGTCGTTGAAGGTCTTGTCGTGTCGGTCTTCTGAGATACTCTTCTCCGAACAAATATATATTCCTTCAACAAAATTTTCTAAGCATGAAATTGCAGTGCTTTCACCAAGAAAGAAGGTATTCTTCAACCGCATCAGGCGCACAACCATATGCTATCATACGAATTGCTGATGTGGCCTTATGTATTCTAGAGAGACCGAACCTTCCCGTAGCATCTCTTCTTCGTTGAAAGAATGAAACTTCATTCTTGACTCGAGTAACAATACGCATAAACAAGGGTTTGTTCATCCTAAATCGGCATCGAAATAGATGATTAGGATATGTTGCATTTTCAGAAAAATAATCGTTCCATAGTCGGTTGTGTCCGTCTTCACGGTCTCTCTCAATATAGGCTCGTGTTTTCTTTGGCCGTCGACGGTTAACAGAAAGATTTTCAAATTCTTCATTGAAAGTTTGTTCCATACTTTCATACAATGCTGAGTCGAATGTTTCTTCGATCGTTTCATCGAAAATATCACGGGAAGAAGATGTCATTTTTAGTAAAGAATAGGAAAAATGATGATATAGAGAATGTTTTTAGTAAACACTAGAAGAAGAGTTGAACTTTAAAGATGATATAGAGAGTATTTTTAGTAAAGACAAGAAGAGAGAGTTGTTACAAATAAAATTCATGCTATATAATGTGAAATATATAGACAAATGTTAGAAGTGTTTCGAATAGAAATTGGTGGTGACAAATAAAAAGGAATACAATTCCCATGTGGTGGTGACAAATCAAAAAGAATACAATTCCCATGTAAGATGTGTGATTTATACATTAATTAAATCTTGTGTTCAAAAAAAAAATACATTAATTAAATCAATGTAGTTGTTCGAAAACAGGACAAGCAAGGTTTAATTTTAACTCGACTGATCAGAGATGTATTAGAAACTTCAAAGACTTGAGTTATGACCTTCTTGAAAAGGTGAGATGATTTTTTTTTATTTAGTCCCTTGTCTTGGCTCTCTTCATTCCAAGTTCACAACATATCACTAATTACTTTGTTCTTCCTAAGAGGCTCTTTTTTGCCAAGTAGACTCTCCAACATAGCTTGCTTGCTAAGCTTATGCTGCATTTCAAAGTCCTGCTTCTTCAGTTCAGCCTCCTGCTTTTTCAACTCAAAGTCCAGCTTCCTAATCTCAAACATCTCTTGCAGCTTCACCAAACGTTCGCTGGTTCCTTCCACCACTTTCCCACTCTTTTCAGCCCTCAACCTTGCCTTTGCCTTCTTCACACCTTCAGGTTGAGTCTCTGGTTGATATCCATGGCTTGAATCCTGGACAGAAGCTTGCGAACCATCTTCACTCTTCCTTCTTTTTGACGTTTGCGAACCATCTTTAAAATGTGACAGCCATTTATGTTCATATCTTAGAGCCTTCCAGCAATGCTCAAGTGTGAACCTGGCAGAGTAATCTTGGTGATAGATCTCATAAGAAAGCGTCATGACATCATTTTCACTTCGCCCACTTGCGGGCTTATCTGTTGCGGCACGTAAAGAACCAACAAACTTGGAGACTTGGTCACTGATCCTGGACCATCTTTGCTTACAGTTGCCAACCTCTCTTTGTGGCATACCAACAAGCTGAGGACTTTCAATGAAGTACTGTCCGATTCTTTTCCAAAAGGAGCCACCCTTTTATTCATTTCCTATAATTGGATTCTTGCTTGTGTTAAGCCAAGCACTTATGAGCACCAAATTTTCTTTCTGTGACCAATTCTTTCTCCCTTTTCTCTCTTCAATTGTCTCTTCATCTTGGCTTGGAGCTACTGTCCACTGAGAACCAAAAACAGGAACATCTGAAGATCCTACAGCTACGCTTGGTGAGAGGGATTCATAATGTTGGCTACTTAACAGATCCAAATAAGTAGAAGGCTGAGTGAATGGATTTGAAGAATCCATTCTTATTTTTTGGTCGAGAATAGAAAATGAGAGATTGAGTTTGTTGTTGTCGTTTATAACAAGTGAAGAAAGGAGAAAGAGAGAGTGGTGTTAGAAATAAAGATTTACCTAATCTAAACCAACCAAGCATTGATCACATTAAAGCAAACTACCAATAAAAGCTAGTGGTTACCAAGCATTAAAGACTTAAGTAAACTTCTAACAACCAACTAATACCTCAGCGTAAAAACTAAATGCCAGCTTGGAAATCAATTTTTTCTGCAGTAAAGACTACATAAATCAATCAATAAACTTGAGGAAAATGATGTATCATACCTCAATTAATAGGAGAGACTAATAATAATGTAGGATTCCATCACAGAAAAATAAGGAACACCTGTTCTCGGCCCTCTCATTGATAATCATCAGTGAGGACGTGATCAAATCCTAAACATTTTCCACAAACAAGTCTATAGAAGAGTACAGAGAACAATCCAGACAGATTCTACAGCACACATATAGTTTATTTCACATATTAAAGATACTGCAGTTATTATATAAATGGCAAAAAAATAGTTCGAACTCTATCTAACACTTGTCAAAGTTCCCATAAACAAGAAGTTCGTTTATATTTTGTTTGGGTAGAGAGACAGGGATCAAAAGGAGCAATTCAATAGATTTTAAAAACGATAAGTAAATAGGTACCTCGTTCGTTAAGAAGACACGTGCACTTAAATAAGAAAAAAGAGGAAACAGATGAGGACTCACCATGCTGTCATCGAAACTCAATATAGAAGCTACATTCCCGCACCGGTAGCAGTAATTAGGTGCAGACCACACCTTTACATACACAAAATAAAGGGAAGAAACATCACCAAGCAGATTATTATACTTCAAAATAGCCAGAATGAATCATAAGAACCAACATACTTACAGTTACAAGGCCTTTATCTTGAAACATGTACTTGAGACCTTCGTGTACAAGCTGATGTGCGCGACATACACAGATTACCAAATTTATATGGTTAAACTGCAGAAGATGCAAAACCAAAGATAAAGAAGTTAACTACATTTATTTCTTACACAGATTACCAAATTTCAACAACAGCAAATTAACCCATACCTCAGTGGTAACCCTTGATTCGAAAAGCCAACCTGCTCCACGTGGACTGACAGCCCATGTTTCAATATCTTCAATGGTGATATCACTTGCAATTGAGAGTACATGATTGATCCAGAACCGAACATCATCAGCAGCCTTAATTGCAAACTCCTCAGGGATCTCCGTATTCGGAACTGGTGGTAAAGGTCTGAAACAAAAGCATCGGGGGTAATTACATGAGTCATATATTCTCATTCAAATTGTGAAGCAAGAAACTTCATTGTATTACAACGAAAATAGATATCAACCAAAACAAAAAATCCAATTCTTTGCTATGAGCCCAAAACCTCAACAATGGCCATCAAGGTTAGATCTTTTTATTGGTAAACAAATCCAGCAAAAAAGGAAGAGTAGATGCTAATTATCGATGAGTAGTGAAGTAGACTTTGCCCATAAGAAGAGGATAGTAACAAGAAGAAGGAGAACATTGGAGACAAAAGACAAGAGATTGTAACCAGCTCTCTCGAACAGAAACCAAAACACAGTAGAAGAGACTAGGGTTCTCTTTGAAGGATCGATTTTCGTCTCAACCGGTGGCGGATTCGATGGTTTCAAGGATCGATTGTCACAATCGATTCATCGCAAGAGAGAGATACTATTTTTTTCTGCGAAAAAGAGACACGGACCCTTTTTTCTTGTTTTATTTAAACACCATAACCAATGAGAGATGACCACGTTTTATTTGGATATGC